TGAAAAGTGCCCTTGGTCACCTGCACAACTTAAAGGTAAAAATGATACAAAGGAAATTATAAGAATCACCGGGATGTTTTCAAGGTATCCCAAATGACTGCAATGCTGGCCTTGTCCCCTGGGACAAGGGGATGGGAGAGAGACATGGTACATGGCAGGGGCTAGGGATAAGGGGACAGACAGGGAATGTGCAGGGGATAGATAGAGGATACCAGAGACATTACCATGTTGACAGGGGACACTGTAGGCCAGCCCTGGACATCCCTCTTGTTGAAGATATGAATTATCAATGAGTTTGAAAAATGTTATATTACAGTAAGATTATTTATTGTTTAAAGGTGCAGCTGACACTTACTATAAATCGCTCAAAGATGCTAAGATAAGGAAAGACAATGGAAAAGAAGGGGAGCATGCAGTAACTTGCAGGCGCCAAGGAAGACAGAGAGATGTAAGTCATTATGAACCAAAAGTTAAGATGACTCATCAGTCATTCTTGATGCACTCTTCCAAGTTTCATACTCATTTGATGAAAACGGTTGTGACTCAAAGTTTTTCTCATTGAAGAGTGTCATTAATTGCTGATGGGTCATCTTAAATGATGTCAAAGAAATGAATTATTTTAGTGATGACTGCATGGCTTTCAGTGATGAAGTACTTGCCCATAAGAAAAACGAGTATGAAAAAAATTCAGACAAACTCTTTTTTTTACTTAACTCTAATTTTTTAACAGGGTCATTAAATTATTCTTTTATTTATTTCTTTTCCAAAACAGGACTGTTTGCAAAATAATTTAGTGTTTGTAAAATGTTGGTTATCCCTCAAAATCCCAATATTTGGTACTCAATTATGAATACACATAGCCACAACACACATACTTTCCCCTCTCTGCAATACACATGCAAACACACTTTATTATTTGCTTATAGAAAAGATTCTTAGTGTTTCATCGGATACCCTTCCATGTTCATGGTTATCATAGACTTATAGATTAAGATGTTTTCTTACYAAAGTTATTTTGCATATTCTTTAGAAATTAGACAGAAGAACAAAGGCATTAGAGATGATGACATGGTCTGAAGCAAAAAAGAATGTAGTTAGAAAAGTCATAACTCCAGAATACATGAGTTCAGATGAAAGTGACTGGGGTGAGGATGAAGCTGGACCCATCTTGAAGGGATACTTAACCAAAAAACTACCTTGGGAGAGATTACGGCTAACGAAATGCAAGCAGGAACTTGATCTTGCCTACAAAAAGAGCTTGCCTGGTAGGYGTAGAAGCTTGATATTAAAAAGGTCAGCCAATCCTGTAAATTCTTGCAGGCCTAGGCCGACGAACTGTGAAGAATGGGCTGTTAGAACACCAACAGCTACAATAAGCGTTCTTGCTTCAACTCCAGTGCGAGACAATAGTAATTCTAGCATTGATTTGGAAGAGTCCGCTATACAAGAGTAATTTTTTCTTCATATTTTTGGAATTTAATGGGCCATTTGCATTGTGACAGCATTTA